AGAAAGGGACCCGCCGATGGGAAGCCCTATTGAAGAGCATGCTGTCGTTGAGCGGGGCATCTCTCAAGGGAAAGCCAGTCATCATCATTAATTTGACTGGCTATATCGAGGACTTGGGGTGCTCAGCTACTTGGCTTACAAAGAGAGACTCCCCCACCTAAACGGAAGACTAGTGAAGGAACATCGAGCTTGGATTAATTGCATTCATTCCTAAACACTCACACCTGCAGTGCCATGGCCGAGAAGTTAAATTTAGAGCTCGTAACATCCATTGCGCTATGCTTGCCGGTCCTGAGCTCTTCTTTACACGGGGGAAGTCTATTCTTCCTTGGCATGATGAACCAGACAGTCCACAAGTTCAACGTGGAGTCACGGATTCTTCTTTGAAGTTTGATGCCCAACTTGGACAACTGTTCTTCGAGAGGAGCCCATATGAACCTTTGCCAACTGACTGGCAGCTGGGTCCGCAGAAAGCTGGCATCACCATTAACGTGATCCCTCCAGCTTCAACTGCAGGGAAGATTCTTCATCATTGCAAGGACCGTCCTCGGGGATTTAATAGCCTGAAATCACCAGACTAAGGTTGAAGCAAAGACCTACTGTTTGTGATGTTTAGACTTTGTGAGCAGATTTGGTGACAATTGCAGAACATATGGGATACCCTATAGGAACAAATCCAACGAATGCGAGAGAAGCATGGTGGTGAGAAGCTGGCAATCTTCAAGATCGGTATTTCCCATTGCCTTCAACGACGTGTGTGTTTTTACTATGAGGAAAACTTTGACGAGATGTGTTGCATTCATGCCACTAATTCCCTTGCCCACGTAGAAATTTTGGAAGCTGCTCTCATTGACTTTTATTTGGACAAGTGCCCACGTCAGTGTCGGAATCTTCTTCGCGGAGGAGAAGGTATGAGGGCTGGAGGTCTCGCGAAATATCCTGCACCGTACTTTGTCTATGTTGTTGCAGCCAATGCGTCGAAGTGCAAGTGGATTGGCAAATGACTTCAACTTTGCTTGGCCAATCTGAACGTTTTACATGAGGAGGACTCACACTCACTGTGACTCATGTCAATTCGATGCACGCGGAGTAAAAACTAGTGTTTCCTGTAAGTGTCATTCAATCCGGATAAGATTGACAACTACTATTTTTGAATACAAAGCATCGTGAATCATGGCCTATTTGCTCCATGCAGCCAAGGCTTTTCAACTTCGTTTGGCAAATATGGCTTTGCCGGGCGGGTTTGAGACAAAGAACTTGCACTACCTCTCAATCTGGTGGCTCAACTCGCAGTCCTATGGTGCAGCAAGGTTGTCAAGGGAAGTTACCGACGCATGGGTTGCTGGAAAGTGGGAGCTTGGTGGGGTTCGCTTCAACAGTGAGGTACCGGGTCTCACTGATGAGGAGCTCTCAGCAATCCCAGGATCGATGAACTCCCTCGCACGCATGGATGAGATTCCTTGGGAAGTTTTGGAGCGCAGCGGCTCCAAAATGGTCATCAAACGAGACGAAAACAAGTACTGGTCCTCCCAGACGGGCCAAATTGGAGAAACCTACAAGGTGTTGAAGGAGAAGCACCAAGACATCATCGGCCGCTGCTCAGCTTCCAATGAGACTGTCGAGGACCAGGGCAATTTGGGTGAAGAGACTGAGGCTCAGACTCAGACAACTCAGACTCCAGCCCAAACTGCACATCAGGTTGAAAGCATTGGAAAGCTTGATGAGCTGCACAAGGTCGATGTCAAGGTTCCCTCTGAGCTGGCCAATGTGGAGCTCATTTTGTGCAAAGATGAAACCATTTGGATTTGTGCTGGCGCTGACAAGGTCTTGGGGAAGCATCAGGTGGTGGGAGGCGTTGGGACTGGCCAATGGGTGCCCGAGACAGAGGCATCTGATTGCTACATTCCCTTCACTCTACCCGAAGGCGACAAAACACTTGTACAGTTGGACGAATCATCTTTTTCCAGTGATGCGCAGGGTGTGTCAACCAGCACACTGTTCAAATTGCTGCTGAAAGCTGAGAAGGAAAAGGGCATTGTATCCCACAAATTCTCCTTTGTCACCATCGAGCGGTCCCAGAACCTAGATGCCGGAGCAGATGGTTTTGATGTGAAGATCAAGAGCCCTATGGTCTTCAATTGCATGGTCAACCCTGACAAGACCACGTCCAAGAACGTGTTCAATCGTTGCCTGCCATCCTTGAAGACGTCTGAGGATTTGATGATTGTGTACCGCTTCCGTTTTGAACGAGTAGGGCAGAGTTTCAAGGTTCAGCGGCCATACATTGTAACAGCTCGTTCAATTTCTTTGAAGAAAGGCATGCCTTTGCTGGTCTCAAAAAAGAAGAGCTAAGTCTCTGCAATGGCTCTGCCATTGATGGATGAACATAGAGTCAAATAAGTTGGCATTGGTTGACTTGTCGTGTTATTCACTGCTGTTGCTTTTCAACTACTCACGCAGTTGTTGATGAGCCATACTGGGGATCAGCAGGGGGTTTGGGTTTTGTTAGCTTCAAGTGATTTTTGACCCTGTCACTGAAGCTCAAGCACAGAGTGAATGAACCAAGGGTGTGGAAGCAGAAGGCCGGCCTTTGAACGTCTTCTCAGGTGATAGCTCATAAAATGAACACAGGCAGCTGAGAACACTTGATGCTTTGTTCATGTTTGCAGAAGACTCAGCAAAACTTAAAACCACTTGTATTGAACATGTAATAGATCATTGTGTGGAATAATAACATATTAACATATTATATAACTTTTGTGAAGCCTGTGATTCTTGGAGCTTCAGGGGTGGAGGAGATGCATGGCCTGCGGACTGTTAGACCCACACCATGAACCAAATCTAGCCACGGACAAAAGAATTTTAATCAGACAAATTGTGAAGTGGCACACTGAGAGTAGTCCTAGGTTGAAGTTAGACATTGACCTGGACGCCGTGTTATCATCATTATTATTGTGTCATTCAATTTATGGAGATTTGAAACGATGCCTGACAAGCTTTTGAAATGGAACTTTCAAACCTTCTTCAAACATATTGAAAGGCTCAGGGTAGATATCCTCGATATTCTTGACATTTCTTGAGTGTCCTGGAGCTGCTCGGATTGATCGGCATGGCTTTGAGCTGGACCCTCACCTATGACGAGATGATGAAGTTGTGGCATGGTCTGTGTTGTCTACACGACCTGGGAGGCATGGCAGAAAGAGCAAGCTTCCAGCACGAGTCAATTCGCGAGACTCTGATGCAGTTCTACCCGCTCTTTGCTGGTGGGCAGGATGCTGGCCCAGCAATTTTGGTAGCAGTGCAAGTGCTCACCATCCTGAGTTGCATGACCTTCAAAGCGCAAATGGATGGCGCGGACCCGGATGACTCATGCAAGCTTTCAGTATGGGTTGAAGCTGCGGATATCATACCACCACCAGGTGACAGAACTCCAGAGAAGTTCAGGCAGGAAATGCGGGAATGGTCCACAGCAAAGATTGAGCACATTTGGTCAATGATTAGTTGCTCCAAGAAGGAGCTAGCAACGCTATTGACTGAGGTGCCGGAGGCTTGTACTCAGGTAATTGACATTTTGAAGAAAGCACATAGCGCATTGGATTCAATTTCCATTGTGGTTCAAGAAGAAACTGCAAATTGAGCTGACTGGCCCAGCGGGACTTGAAAGCCTGGGCTCATCAGCAGCAAAAAAACACTCTCGGTAATTTAATGAGAAGTTGGGTTAGTTTCACTTTCGTTTTTAGTGTTCAAGCAGAAGCTGTGTGCCAATTTCAATGCCAGTCAGTCTGTCATGTTCTTTTTTGCGTTTAGTGCCTTCCGGCTTGCGATACTCGCGGTGGCCTTGGGTCAGATTAGGCTTGAGGGTAGTAGGCTATAGGCCTTATTTTCACCCAGTGTGCGTTCATGGCGCATTGCATTAACATCCAAGCGTGCATTCTGTCTTCAATGGCCTCGCAGCCTTCCACCTCGTTCAAATCTCCAGAGCGGGTTGCTGCTTCTGCGGCCGCCACCGCTGCCGTTGAGGGTACTAAAGCAGATCATGCTACACCCAAAGGCCAAAGCCCAAGTGGTATGTTGGTGGAGACACCCGAGGAGGAGGGTGGACCGTCGGCTGGCATTGTGGGTGGAAGGGGCAAAGGAAGGGGGCGTGGGCGAGGTCGTGGCCGTGGCAAACAACAATGTTCAGGTTCATTAAGTTTCAAATTCCCCAGTTTCCTGTCAGTTAGTTTGGATGTTTCAATTGTTTGGAGCTAACCATCTCTTTTTAATATTATATCACATTCCAAAAACAAAAAACATGGAGGCAATGAGACTGAGACGAACCTTGAGAAGGGTGAGGACAAGAAGGGTGAGATGATGGTCGGCAAGGTGGGTGAGACGCCTGTGATGAAGCGACCTTCTACGAGACAACCTTCAAAACCCCGTCGTGTGATGCGTAAGCCATCAGCCTCTGGTGACATGGGACAAGATGGGACACCAAAAAGGAAGGAGGCAGCACCAAGTTTACCTATCCCAGAGATCCCGAAAGAGGCCAAGAAGGGTTCTACCAAAAAGGCCAAGAAGAGTGGTGGCACTGAGCGTGGGAAAATCTTGTCATCTGTGGATCACCCGAATGGGTGGAAAGTTGTGGAACACCAGACTCCAAAGGGTCGAGTGTACAAGAAATATATTGCTTCCGATGGGGAGTATTACTTCTCTGAAAGTACGGCGGCACAACATGGATTTAAAGCCGCCTGATCGTCAATCTGAGGAGAAAGAAAGCGGCGGTTACTAATCACATGGACAGCAGCCCAAGGAACCAAAGAACCAAAAAACGAAAGAACTAACTTTTAGTGAACTTCCTTATATATAATATACCTGTTAACTATTATATTTAAAGGATTTGTGCATGCTCCTTCCATCCAATGCCAGAGCAGTTGGAGCTCTAGCTCAGCCGTTGGAGGGTGGAATCTGCACCGGTCTGGGTAGATGAATGTCCTTTTCCTCCATTCTTTCTCGAACAGGTGGAACGCCTTCTGACGGACATGGAAAGTCGCTTGTCCACCCATATCAACCTGGTGCACAAAGAGGTGTGCGACTTGAAAGTCGCCGCCGCTCGGCGTGCGAGTGGACCTGTGGTTGGTGTCACAGTAGTGATCAGTAGTGGTTGGATGGGGAAAAACAAGAAAAAACAAGAGCCGAACTTGCAAGCGCTGTAGGTCTTAGATCTTACCCTAAGGATCCGCACCCGAAGCAAAACAAGGGTTATGAGGTTACAAACCCTTGTGAACTAGAGACTCGGATCCTTAGGGTAGAATGTCATTAGGTTGGAGCCATTGCTCTTAGGTTGGAGAGCCTTTGTTCTTAGGTTGGGGGCCATTGCGTGAGAAAGATTCATGATATACTTAAGAGTCTCTGAGTTCGGGTCTGGCAGTGTGGCAACCCGCTTAGAAGTTGTGCGTTGAAAACCGAGTTCTCAGATCGACCGTGTTGAAAAATATGGTCATCAGCGACCATTGTGTTTTCATCCGGGGCTTCCGCCAACCAATTTTGGCCCATGCACGTGGACATTTGGGTGGCCAATCGGGGCCGACCAAGCAACTCCTCTTGTAGAATTGTCAATGCCGAAGATGCCTGGCCCAACCCAGACACTCCATGTCTATGTAGACATGGGATATTCATATCTACGTTGGGTGGCTTCAAGGGTCCATGCATTTAAAAAAGCCTCTAATCCCAGACGCTCCCCACTTGATCGTCCACATGTCGTGTCTTGGGTCTGGCACTCCTGGTCATGTCTGGTCGTGTCTGGCACCGAGGAGCAGGCGGTGGGAGGTCTCCCCACCGACGTGAGCCACGTGACCCACGCCAAGAGCGATGACGCGCCAATGCCCGGGCGGAGCTCCCACTTCTACCGCGCACGAGTCCCGGTCGCTCGGTCAAAGAGCGAAGAACCGGGCGGGATGCGGCCGGCCCGGAGCGTCCGTCTGCCTGGGGCGGACCGGAGCCTTTTTGGGGGGTCATGAATTGAGTTCTTGCAAGGTGACAGATGACGCCAAGAAGCCTGTCCCAGAAATTCCAGCCAGGAAGACTTGTTTGGGATGAGCTTGAACTGAATTCTGAAGCAGCTTCGAAGGCAAAAGCTGCCTCCATGAAACACGGATTGCGGTTTGCTGTGCAGGTGGCTTTGATTGAAGGGGCAGACATGCAGTTGCAATTGATGAGTAGTTGGTCACCTAATTATGGCATCTATTACAAACCTCACAAAAGCTCCACCCTAAGGCTCATTGGACCCTCAGTTCGCCAGGTTTTTGGACCTCAAACATGTAGTAGTTTGAGGGTCCATGAGCCTTTGGGCAGACCACATCCAACCACATAAACCCCTCGGTTTTTCCCTCCCAAACGACCTGGACCATCCGAGATCTGGACAATCTGGAATCTGGAGATCCCGGAGAGCCAGTGCAGTACAGCCTGGGTAGTCCAGACAAGATGGTCCTGGTACCCTTTCTTTCCTAGTAGCTTCTTGTTCCTGGTAGCGATGGCCTCCAACACTTGCGATGGCCTCTACCCAATAGTGTCCTGGCCAAAACCTCGCAATACCAGGAGCTACGAACGTCGCGGGCGATTCGCCCGACAGCTCCGAGCGCCCGCTTTCGCGCCCGAGAGCTGCCCAGAACCCGAGCTCCGCCAGGATCACTTCCGACAGCTGGTGAGCGACAGCTTGCGCTCGCCCCAGCGCGCCGGACGCGGCGGCAACCTGGGCGGACCCTCCTCGCGCTCGGCGCCTGGGGCGCAAACGAGTCGCGTTGCATGACCCGCGAGAAGCGCGAGGAGCCCCAGGTAGCAGCAAAGCGAAGGAGTCCACCCTAACCCCAGACACGACGACTGGGACTGGAATAGCCCCCCGGACCCACCGAACTGAGGGTCCTTGACCCCCAAAACCACCCCTGGCCTGATCGGCAGATATGGCAGTCCCATGGAGTGTTTGGGTAATATAAAGTTCCAGTATGTTCCGGTATATAATTACTCCAAGTACCTTCTCAGAAGGCACTTGGACCCTCCTGGCACCACCCCAAACACCTTCTGAGAAGGTACTTGGATCCCTAGGTATACTTATATATATTCTGATTGACCCCCAAGAGTAAACACAATAGATTACCTGGGAGGTCAACCTACCGCCCTAGGGATCCAGTCGTACCTTCTAAGAAGGTTAAGTAACCTGAAAAAGGACCCGCTAGCTACTTGGGGTACCTATGGGATAGTCGAACTAGGGTCCTTCAACCTCTGTTGGAGGGATTGTTTTGGGATGACGCATACATCCTCAGAGGGTCGGAGTAAGAAAAGAACAACAACACACCCGAACTGGGTGGTGCGCGTGTCGCAGATGTCTGGGCAACACGACATTCATATACGCAACTGGATCTGAGCAGGTACCTTCATGTACCGTACATGCCAGGTCTTTCCACTGACTCAGCCAGTACCACGTCAGCTTTCCATCCACCACTAGTCTCCGGGGTGTACCGACGCACGACTGGAGCCGCTCGGACCTTGGAACCGGTCGAGAGTCGGACAGGACCTGCTAGACATGAGCTGTTTGGGACGAGACCTGGGTTGAAGCTACCAGGGGCCCCTCAGTGAACCATCAAAAACCTTAGCCTTCCCCAGCAAAGTAGCAAAGACACCTGGTGTTGGTATGTGAAAACCTGTTTGTTTCATGGTCAACGGCTCGGGCCCCTGGTAAATCTATAGATCTTCCAACTACCCTAAGAATCAAGGACCCGATCCGTTCAGCGGTTCGGTTTGGTTCGGTTCTGTCCAACCCCCTGAGCGGTCTGCAGGGTCAAAGCCCTCCAGCGAACGGTGGTCGGGTCCAATGATTCTTAGGGTATGCAAAAGTATTTATCCCTTTTAGTGTATTAAACAGGGTTCTAAAAGGCTTACAAGCAAGAATCAAGGCCAAACATAGAGGCCCTGGTTCAACCAGCCCAAAAGGCCCTAGGCATGAGTGCATAGTTGGAAGATCTAGGTATGCATGAGTACAGTAACACTGGTGTTGGTCTTGGAACGTCGACTTTGGTGGGTCGGCGCTAGTAACAGATCGCAGACGAGGTCGTCGTCTGGGTTTGGAGTCTGTGAAACGGGGTTCACTGGGTTCAAGTGTCTACTACGGATCGATCGAAACGGCGATAGAGCAGATCAGAGAAAGCTGGATGCGGGAACGGGGCGGAAGATGAGGAATGAAAGACGATACCCTAGCATTCGAAGAACTACGGTATATAAGGCTAGGGTATTATTGGCGGGAAAGGGAGAGAGAGAGAGAGGAGGCGGTTTGGGAAGGGAGATGAAGGGAGCCCGGTTGGAAGAAAGCTCCGACACTGGACGCGCCAGTGCATATCAATGACCAGGAACACAAGGGACACTTGCTCCCAGTGCCTGAGGGGAATCAGGTAAGAAACGAACGCTATGTATCGTCTTCTATCATGCCCATAGACTCCATGGGACTGCCATCTATGCCGATCAGGCCAGGGGTGGTGCCAGGGGTGTCAATTGATCGGCATAGTCTGGCAGTCCCATGGAGTCTATGGAATGGGAAGATCTCAATTTCGACCCTGGTCATCGCCAAGTCAAGGGGGCCTCCCATCTCTTGCCCTAAAACCGAGCTTGGGCCCTCCATGGCCGGGGAGAAGCCCGACTCTCCACCGATCTCTGCAGGGGGAAGGTCCAAACCGGAACCAAAAGCTATATGATTACGGAAGGGGCGAGGCCTAAGGTTTGAAGGCCTTTCCACATGACTTGGCTCTCTTAGGCTGGCTCCAGCTTCCAGTGGGATAGCTTCCGGCTCTCACCACCGCAGCTCTCCTCTTGCGCGGCTTTTTGTGAGATCATGATCCTCACCTTGGCAGCCCGGTTCAATCCCGGGATGCCGCGTTGGACCGGGAGGCGTTAAATCCTCACAAGATGGTCCGTAGTTGCTGATGTTTACGAACTCGGATGGCTCATGCATCTTCAATATTGAAATAGCGGGAGAAAGCAAAACCAAGGGGGTGTTGTTTTTGTTCCATCTTCCAGGAGGTCTTTCGGGGCTCCCCATATTCTAAGCTACAGTTTCTCTGTGGTTTTTGTTGCTCTTTGTTGACAAAAGCACCGAGGGTTTCTAGATTCAGACCGATAGAGGGAGCCGCTTGAAAAAGAACATCGCCACTTGCGAGAGCTTTGGACGTGCCCCCAAAAAGCTCGGCATTTCAGTTCATGAAGTGTTGGATGTTCTTTTTTTTCCGGAGCGGCGTCTTTCTTGGTCGAAGGAAAGGATGGAAAGGATCAATGAAAACCAAAACCCGTTGGGGTTGGGGGGAAAGATCACGTGTGGAGTGAGACGATGCTAGCCTGTTTTCAAAAAGAAAGCTTCCAGACGTTCCAAACTCCCTTCTCTATGCATCAACTTACCCTACAGGTCATGAACTGATTTTACTAGGAGTTGATAGAAAGGCACTACTTAATGAGGTGTCCAGGACCAGGTTTGGAGTTGTATGGCTCTACAACGAAATACAACCTTTTCAAGGAGGATAGGTCAACCCCAGCATCCGGTCGCGACCATTGCAGCGTGTTTACCGCACGCGGTCTCTCCATGGTGACCATTCCTGAAGCGAGGAGCTTGTTGAAGTCTGCCTCCACTGCACTTGACCAGAAATATCCTGCCCTAAGGATCCTTGGACCCTCCTATAACAAGGCGTCGAACCCTCTAGCCAAACCCTTGTTTTGTTTCGGGTGCGGATCCGTAGGGTGCAAAGATCCGGAGAACCAGCTTCTTCAGTTCGTGACCTTTTTGGAGTGTCCCGCCAACCTGTTGCAGGCACTTTTGTGACCTAACCAACCAGGATGTCAAGTTCGGTCACTTTGAAGAACCAGGAAGAAGGCATTTTGATGCATTTTGTATGATGGGTCCATTTTTTGGTTTCTTTGGCCGAAATGCGCTTTCTTTCGGAAGAAACGCTCCAAAGCGACCGGTCGACCTGGTCCTTGAACCCTCACGTCGTGCCAGGTCCTCGCCATATCGCTTCGGGAGAGAGCTCGCTCCCGACGCTGAGCTCGCTCCAGCCAGGTGATCGCTTACTCCATCCTGATGGGTCTTTCTCTACAGCAGTTGAGCTCCACCGGCGAAGCACCGGCCTGGGCCTACCCCGCATCTGGGTTCAATCACCAGCGCTGTCGAGGGCGGGGAAAGCAGGAACCCCACCCATCCGAGCCGCCGTGGACGTCTGGGGGGTTCGACGACCGCGGGGAGACGGTCCAGACGTCCAGAGACCGTGGAGCAGCTTGCCGTCCGAGCCGTCCGAGACGTCGACGTCCAGATTCGGTGAGTCCCGAGTTCGGACGGCCCGAAGGTTCCGTCTCAGGGCCCCGGAAGTCCGGACTGCAGCTGGTGTCAGTGGCGTCTAAGCATTGCGAATCCCTAGACATCCACTGCCACCGTACCTCAGCTACGCCTGGGCCCGACTGGCTGGCGTCATAAATAGTCTCCTTCCTCACCTGAGAAGGTACGACTGGATCCCTAAAAAATTGGATGGCCACGTGTGGCTGGAGGAGTGCACGATTCCATCTCTCCGATGCCATCCTCCGCCATACTTCGAAGCCATGACCCTTTGTTTTGAGAGGAAAAGGCCATGTGTTGGTTCCAAAAACAGGGGTCAATCAGGCTCTAGGATGTCCATGGACCTGTTGCCATGTCCATTTCGCATGTTTTCGAAAGTAAGACGGTCTCTGACGGTCAATGACGATCCAATTGAACGTGTTTTTGTGCCATGCTGGTCAGAAACATCCAAGGCTCAGGAGTTCGGGCCAGCCACCCCGAACTCGGAGTTCGGAGTTTAATCCAAAGAACTACTAGTTTTTACTGAGGCAACCGGTCTCACAAGCCCGGACCTGCGAACGGGGAAGCGCGGTCCTGTGCTTGATGAAATCGGAAGTTCTTTGGGGTGGAGATCTTAGCTACCCAGACGCTCCGTTCACAGCTCGACTGGTACCTCAAAACCCTAGGGATTGGTTCGACCCCAGACCCCTCCAGAGGATTCGGGTCCGACCCCTCCATATGAGGGCCCAGACTTCGCGTCTGGGTATAGCAGCTATAAGGTGTCATTGCTCTTGGGGAGCGACTTACCGCCATAGGACTGCCGGCCCAGAGGCCGACCACCCTAGCACCATATCGGCTAAGATGGCAGTCCAGCATGGGTCGCATTTAGTGACTCAGCCCCTTGCCAGTTTCTTCAAAGTGACTTCTTTGGAGTGCCTAAGTGACTTTTTACGGGCCCAACTGACCTCAAACTGGGATATCAAAAGGTCACTTTGAAGAACCAGGTGTTTTTTTCCTGTTTTTTTCAGGTCGATCTCACTTTCAACGTGCTCTTCGTGATCGACGTGGCGTTTCGCTGCTTTTTGGAAGGTCGTCGCTTCTTCTGTGGCCCTGGCGCTCGATGGAGTCTTGCTGATGAATGGAAACCGAGTCCCAAGCAGAAACGAGGTGGATGTTCCAATACGATATGAATGGATGTTTACCTTTTTGGTTTTAAAGAGGATGTCTCACTGAACAACAATCCCAGACGGGTCCCTGAGGTGGCAGCGTAGCAGCTGCAGCTCCCGCTCACCACTCCGATGCTGGAAACACTGTGAGTTGAACTCGATTGGTGCAACCCAAGATAGAAAGTATCATGTACCACCCGAAGGATCCGGTCGTCCGGACCCTCCAGTTCCCTACAGTCGTGGGGTAGTTCACCCCAGTCCGTGCCACCAGGCTTTTTCGGGGCACACCCAAACCGTTTTCGCGCTGGGCATGACGTAATCGGGTGCAGATCCTGATCGGGTAGGACCATCCAATGGGTCACCCAATGGACCACGTAATGACCCTCCACTACCCCTACAAATCCAAGTACCTTCTCAGAAGGTACTTGGACCCTCCAAACCTACATAACAGTGTCTCCAATCATCTTCTGAGAAGGTACTTAGTACTTGGATCCCTCGGGTACTATCCAGGTAGACTCTGGATGACTCACTTCAGATGGTGGCAAGACTGGCACTGGGCGCGCAGAATGCCCTTGCGCCTTCGATGGATGCAGTGTCGGTGAGAGAGAAACAATCACCCCCCATATGGGGAGAAGGTGGTTGGGGTGGGTACCAGGGGGAGTTGTGCCCACCAAACCTGATGGTATTGACCAGGAGCCGGTTTTGAAGGCACCCCAGCCGCACATCGGCCGCACACCATCCGCCCACCATCCCAGGAACATCGTCGATTCCTGCGTGGTGTTCTTCATCGTTTTGTCGCAGCTGCTCAGCGATTTGGGCTATCCAGATCTGGGAAGCATTTCGGCACCTGGGGCCTAACACGAAAGGGGGAGGGCCGTGTTCCACGGAGTGCGGGGAGTGTCCATCTTCACCAAACAGGATGCCATTTGGAGCAATCGTGGGGTTGATGGCCAACCACTGGCCAGTCATTACTTCCAAGATCTAGATCTAAAGAAGAACTACCGAAGCACTGCCTGAACGATACCTTTTTCCGTGCCCCTCAGAGATGCACCAACTTCCAGGGGGTGGCCACACTTCCATGGCTTTGATAGCCTCTTCCAGCAGCCAACAGCTTGTTGAGGGTTGGGAAGGGCCATATGAGGTCTCAGTTAGTGACCTGTAGAGCCGGGTCCTGGTTGATGCCTCTGTAAAAACCATTACATAAACAGTAAAAAGAGGTTGTCCCCCTTTGATCCCCTTTGACTCAGATACTGGGTCTTACGTGGCATTGGTCATATTCAAGCTCTTGTGGTTGGAGAAACCTCGAGGGCACAAGGGACTGATGGTATTGTGCAACTCGACCGGCTGTTCGGTCACTGCAGATGTCGATCAGATTCCTGTCTACCAGACACGCATGTTAGAACGTGTTTGGTTCTCCAGCCAAGCGCCCACTGCCCGCTGTCAAAGTCAAAAGCCAGCTTTTGAAGATGACGAAAGGGGAACAGATACTAAAAAGATTGGATCTCATATCAATCTTCTGTGGGATGTCCATCTCGGGAATCCCTCAAGTCGATTCAGGCTTTGTTCTCTCCCGACAGCCAAAGATGGTTCCTCTTATTGCAACCTCACCAGCAAGCTGCAAGATGACAACAGAGAGATACACCGACCCCTACTGACCAGGTCCAATGCTATAGAATGTTTCTACACTTTCAGGCTTTCAGATGTATGAAATTCATCTACATCACCAGTTACATCAATCCAGGTCCCAATCCAGCAACATGGATGCTTTGGGGTTTCCGAACGACGCACTCTTCAACCCGCCGGCCGGCATCGGTTAAGACACCCCTTCCACCGAGCAAATGCACCGACACGGCGTGCCGGCGGGAGACCTCGTGCACGGCGTGCCGGCGTGCGGATTCAGGTGCTCCGACTACTTCGGATTCTTCGAATCTTGGGCGTCTTGGCTTCGGAAGAGGCAACAGAGGTGTAAGAGATTCCCACCAAGTCGACTCTCCCAGGTCATGCCTGCCAGGTCACCAGGTGCGACTGAGGTCCGACCCTCAGCCACAGACTGAGGTCCGACCTGGTAAGTACCCCACGTGGTCCGGGTCGCATGAGGTCACTTCACCTCTCTTGGTACCCCGAATCCTCCAGGCCGCCCCCTCCATTTCGCGGTACGTCTTGGGGGGGTCTGTGCCCACTGAACCTCAGGAGGTGGGGCGTTCGGAGCTCTGGGGTACGTAGAGCATTTACACCTTTGGGGGGGATATGGGAGGTTGCGCATTCAAATCCAGGGTCTATTCGCTACCTACACCGGAAGTAGCCTGGGACCGGTTGGTATGTTCTTTGGTCGGGGTTCAAGAAGACAGAGATGATCGGCTTAGGACATTGCAACTGGATGAGGGTGGCTTGAGTGCACACACCTTCGGTTTGTGGCAGTTGGTGGCAGCCGTAATAAAAACACTTTTAGGTACCATTTGCCCACAGGTGGTGAGTGACACTTGGTGAGTCATTTGAATACTCTACCCCCCTTTCAGGATCCGCATCCTCCAAAAACAGGTGTTGGTTCTTGTTGCTTCGGGCCTCCCAAAACAACCCTTCCCTGCAAGTCCAAAGACCCAGTAAAACCTGGTCTTTTACCTCCTTAAGTATTGGTCTTGTATGACAATCCCAAGTAAAATGAAGTCAAACTGACTTATAGGGCTTGGTGAACCCAGAGGCTTCGAACCCAACGCTCCGAATCTCAGAATCCGACATGGGATCCAAAGACCCACCCCAGACGTGCCCCGGAGGGGTCCGCCCCGAACCACAGGTGGTGGTGAACCTGGGCACCAGACTGGTCACCAGCAAGCACCTGTAGAGTCGAGTGGTGGAGGGGTCGAATTGGTTTGGACACCAATTCCTAGGGTTTGGTTCGGGACCCAGGACGTCGCGTGTGAGCGCGTCTGGGCCACGTCGGTGGATCCCAGGCGTCGCCCGGCTCCTGCGCTTCTTCTGCCGCTGGCGCGCCTTCCGTTACCTCCGGACGCTGGCGGCGTCGCTGGTGGAGACCTCCAAGTGCATGCTGCCGTCGCTCGGGGGGTCCGCGCGGACGGGAGGACGCCCCTGAAGGAGGCTTTGCCGGCCCTGATGGACCTTGGAAGCTGATGGACCTTGGAAGACAATGTTTCCTACCAGATCTAGCCAGGAACACCCAAAGCCCAGTTTGGATGGTTCGGGGTGATGCTTGCAAGGAGTAAACTAGGTCGGTGGTCTTCCTATTGGACGCCCAATGTGAAGGGCGCCTCGCTGGCGGCAGCGAGAGAGCTAAGACAAAACCGGGAGCATGTAAGGAACTAGTTCATGCGTGTTCAAGTGAGTGTCTTCTTGTTCCCTCAAGAAGCTAAACCAGCGGTTTTGCGGGAAGCATTCGGAAGCAGGTGAAGAAGACGACGAAGAAGCTGCAGGGATTGTGGGCCATTCCACCGCCATTCCACCCATCAGATGGTGTTTTCGGTCGACACTGTAGAGGAAGACGGCAGGTGTTCTCGACGCGCCGCAGGTTTTCGCGGTTTGATGTCCGTGGGCCGGGGTAGGTGACCTAGGCTTGACAAGATGGAATATGGACACCTCTCCTTCTGACTGTTTGATTTTTGCTGCCGCAGGTAGATGGATTTGTTCAACCAAGATTAATTCATATAAGCTTTCTCACATTAAGCTTTCTCAATGACTGGGTTTAAGGGGAACATCTGCAGGAAACCAAGGTGGTTTTCCTGTCCACATGAGCTCAACTCGGAGGGTTGGTGGTGATCATTTGGGAGTTTGATGAATTGGTCCATTTATTGATTCTTGAACTGTGTACTCATTGCCAGCAACCGTCGGCAACAAAAAGATGATCACTACTTGGGGGAAAAGAACTTTACTAGCCAGTGAAACCTGGTCATGGGATAGACCACTACACTCTTTCGTCAACTCGAGTGGCGCACGCACGGACTGCATGGACTGGCTGCAGCTTCCGGGTGCTGCAGTCTCAACGCACATTCCGGGAGGCAGGTTGATCAGGACCCGGAATCGATCCCCAAACCCTGCCCCCAACACAGCAAAATGCTATAGCACCAGGACACCCTAAGGGGTGTCTATTGATAGCCCCTTAGAGGTTAAGGGGTGTCCATTAACCACCCCTTGTAGGTCCTAGTATAGGTATGTTAGGCCATGGTTAGTATGTTAGGCCAATGGTTAGGAGGTTGGATGCTAGGCCATCGCTACAGCTAGCTCGCTCGCGGGAGGTGTTTTCTCCCGGAGCCTCAAAGATCACTGTGACCGTTGTGTTTGCTGAGTCGAAGGGATCGGGCTCAAGTGTCGACACCCATAGGTTTGGGGGGTGAAAACAATACCAGCACCCTCCAACAGGTCACCACCTGCGACTTTTAGGTCAGCAAAAGCCTCCAGAGGAGACCTGTTGGAGGGTATTATTGTCCTGTAGATTTTCCCTATCCAACCAATCCTGAGGAGTGGATCCGCCTCACAAATCCTCACAACCAACCACACCAACTGCGATCCAAGGCTCATGGCCTTTGTGCTCGCCATCGTTTACCTCTTTGGATGCTGAGAAGCAGGTTAGGGCGGCCCCCATCAGTGCACCTGCAAAACCGACCTCACCCAGACGTGGCCCGAGACCACCCGGCCCCGAATCTGGGTGTGGGGGTCTTAAATCAAGGGCGTGCAAGGGCAGTGAATGGAGCGTTTGGGAGGCGCTTGGGCTGTGGTTCTTCTTTCGGTGAAATCTGATCCCGGCTGGCCAAAACCTAGCGAGTCGAGTGGAGTCGACGCCGCCGACGCAAAAGCCAGGACCGAAAACCCTGACTTGGGTGTGTCCTGGCTCACCTCTAAGAGGCTATAGATTTTCACACCTTTTGGAGGGTCCAGCTATGAGCCACTTCCACGAGGCAATGAGGGACGGGACGCAATGTTTTACGGAGGCGAGGGGTCGCCCATGAAACGACGCGACGCCTGGTACGCAAGAAGAAGGATATCCCTAGGGATCCACATACCCTCTGAGAAGGTGAAGAAGGAGACACAGTTGTGTAGGTTTGGAGGGTCCAGTCGTACCTTCTCAGAGGGTACGACTGGATCCCAAGGGCATGTGGCACATATAAAATAGCTGCTGCATCATCTCATCATGTCCAACTTTTTGTGAAGACACGCCCAATTACTTTCCATCGATACATGACCTGCCATGTGACACGGCAAAGCACTTGGGAGGTCATGTAGGTCAGTTGGCCCTTGGGAGCATCGCACCTGTCCTTTTCCTCCCCTCACCACCTCCCCTCCTTGGGTGGTAGATGTTGACCCGAACATCATGGAGACTACTCTTCCAGGAGTCACAAAGGGGTGGTGTTTCGTCTCCAAGTGAGTGGAGTAGCTGGGCACCCCTAACCTCCATGGATCGCACCCTGTCCTGCGACTGCTGCTTCTCTTCTCTTCGCGCATCCTTCAGGAATGGTCTTGACCGAAGGGATCTGGGAGGTTTGTCGCTCTGAAATGGTCCCGGACGATGTGCTGTGCGCGAAGTTCGGCACGCTGAATGCCTCGATGATGACCTTGTTCCAAATCCTCTACCACGGCCGCGGGGCCAAAGATTGTTCGAATGCCGCGCACCCTAGACATCCAAGATCATTAAAAAAACGGTTGACCGGGTTTTGTAGTGTAAAATCCTTGGTTGATTCGGTAAAGCCTATTAAATTAATGGTTGTTGGAAGCCTAGGGGCATTTATTTGTTCTTTTGGCATGGGGAGCGAGGCAAGTAGGTACCCCCAAATCTACCAGAAACTCCATGTATGGCATAGTTACTTATAGTCGATTACATTTCGTGTGGTGTGAAAACATCGATGTGTTCAGGATCAATCAAAACCAAGCTATTCGGACGTCCCCAGACCAACGTCTTGACATCCCCAGAAAGAGCACCCAGAGGGGCGCCCAGACCAACTCTAGGGATCCACCAAGAGTTCGACTACGTGGCCTGGTCTCTAGGGACCCGGAAGAAACCCTCGCCGCACCCGGAATCGTCCGAGCTGAGAAAACGGAAGGTCCTTTCGGAGAAAAAAAGACATCGTCCTGGATCTCTAAAACGTTCATAGGTGGACAAAAGCTATATAATTTTCCAGTAAAAGCTGAGGAAGTCATCATACCCTGTCGATCCAGACTTGTATCCTGCCAACTCTAACTGGGTCCGTCCCATGACGCGTTTCAAGAGGTTGGACAGGACTTCTGCAACTCCAGAAGGTGCTACTTATTTACCCGAAAGGGCGGATTTGAGCAGTCCCAACACCTGAGGAACTACTTGGAGCCCTATATATTGCAATATTATACCATTTAATCCAAGACCTTCAAGGTCCATATACTTAAACCGTCGCGATGGTCTAGCCTAGTGCCTAGCCTATATGGCTACGGCCAGAAACATAAGGCTTGGATCAAACCCACACACGATCCATACCTCGATCCATAGGGTATGGATCAAAAGGTGGGTGTGTGATCCAAGCCCTTGGATCACACAACCACCACCACCACCACCACTACTACAACCACCTCTGCTGCCACCACTCCTTCTGCTACTGCCACTGCACTTGCCACCTGCT